AACTAAATAAAAATCTTAGAAACACGCTAAGAGAATATCAAATATAAGAGAAGCAATAATGTGGGCAAATTTATTTTGGTCGCACTGAATAAGATTGCACGAACTTGAATTTTTATGATGCAAAAGAGAAGTAATTTCCAAAACAACTGATGCATTAGGAGCATAAATGAACCCTCTAAACATGTGTATCTACCCATGCCTATAAAGAACTTCTAGAGAGCCACCGGGTGATCATCACTAGACTTTCTTTAGGCTTAAACCTTGATGCTGCATGCCCTGCGCCCTACAAATACACACACACACACACACAAAAACTTTTATTTCTTGTTTTTCTTCAAATCATTGTAAGAAATGGCACAATCAAACTTTTCTTACCTTGATTGTCGCAAATGTGAGATAAAAATTATTCGTCTTGTACTTCTCTGTGTATCTACAAGGGATAAAGTACATTGCAACTTTTTTAGAATATACTATGCAATATATATATATTATCATCAAGAACAAGAAACATACCCCGCAACTTGTCCATTAACAAGCCAAGGTCTCCAATTGTCATCAATAGTCAGATTAAGAATGGGAATCCAATTTAAAGGACCCATATATGGTGCTGCCATGTCGTGATCACCGCTAAAAAGAAAAGAAGCACAATTAGACAACATATACCTACATATTTGTATAGTAACTTCTTTTTTATTTTTTTGTTTATACTCTTTCAATAATTGTAAACCAACAAATATATTTCGTTGATCCATTAGATTAAACTTTGAACAAATTAAGTCACAATTTCTATTTAAGAAAGAAACTAATATGACTTACTTGAATACCAAAACATGGTATCCTTTCTTGGTGAAAATTTTATGATATTCAAGAACACTTTCTACATTCTTTTCATAGGATATTCCATAATAGCACGTTTTCCACCTTTTTATCATTCCCTGGTGATCAAATTACGAGATTACTGTAAACATTTTGATCATATATAATGGTAACACATTCTAAACCTTTAATAATCTTTTTCTATTTATTGTACCTTTCTAACATAAAGAGCTTCTTGAACAATCGGATCATTTGCCCAATAATCGGACACTGTATAATCGATATCCTATACAAAAGGAATTTTTGTGAGAAACTTAGAATGTACGAAAAAAAAAAGGTTATTTGTAAGCTTCTTTTCTTCAAAAATGCTTTTATTAAGTTTTTTCTTTAGTGAGAAGTATTAACTTAATTTGAAGAAAAATAAATTTTAATCGAATTTTTACGGATATATAAATAGAGGAGTAATTAAGTTACATGACACTTTTGTTCTTCTGTTAGGAGGACGAGAAGGTCAACTGAATCGTCAGTCGGAAATGTTTGATTCCATCCAAAATTATCTTGTTTTGGTTCGCTGTCATCACATTTTGGATACAAAATGTGAACTTGATTTATATGACTTAGACACTGCAATATTTGATGATAAAATGGAACTTTATTAGTGTTTACAACCATAATAAATGCTGGAAATGAAAATAAAATAAAATAAGATGTAAAATATTACCTCTTGGATCCGTTTAAGGGCATTAAGTCATTGCAAATTATTTGGATCACGATTATAATATTTTCCCTTACAGCTAATTTTTGCTAACTGAAATTATGCAATTAATTACAAGAGTACAAGAAACAGTATGCTGTATTTTATCATCAAAGTAACTGAATAATAAAGATTACCTCATAATATTCATTAGATATAAGTGCCATGCCATGAGCAAACGGAATTCGTGCATTAAAATCAATGTTTGGATCATTTAGTTCATTGCCGACAATGTACCCTTGTTTCAATTCGAATTGTACTCAACCATTAACACGAAATACATATGTCATAGCATTAAGGAGAAATTCGTATATTTGTGTGAGCTNTGTATTGGCTAACTTAATTTTTATATGTATTAATTTTATTTTAGAAATTAGGGAATTTCTTTTATAACAGTAACAAGAATTTCATTTATATTATTATTATTATTATTATTATTATTATTATTATTAGTAGTAGTAGTAGTAGTATATACTACCTCTTAGTATTTCCATGGAAACCATGGGAGCAAGTTTGCCTCCATATGATTCACCCGCGACATATAGATGATTTTTGATAAACGTAGGATGATTCAATAACCACTGCATATAGGTGCGAATATGTAAGCACTACTAGTTAGTTCCACATAGTACTTCATTTCTATAGCCTCAATTTCCACCTAGAAAAAAAATACCTATGATTAATAATGTCAACCTACCTTCCTAAGAAATGTGTAAATATCTTGTGTTGATTTGATGTCCGATGGATAGTAACCTTGTGAAGTGTTTGCATAGGGGCAGAGAAAGTGTGAGATTGGTAATGAGAAAATTAGAAGTATTGTGTTTAATTCCCCAATAGGATTATTTACATTAATAAAACCGTGCATCATCTCTACTATTATCGATATCAATAACAGTTAAGTCATGAGATGATGTGAACCGATGTCACCATCCAGCTACGGACCAATTTCTAAGTGACTAGTGCATAGAAATCACGTGTTTCAATTTACACATGAATCCCCATTTCAAGTTTCTAACTTTGAAAAAATACATGGTGGTGGATGCTAACTTGTACAAACAAAAAAATAAATCAAACAATACTTCTTGTCTCATATTAACATAAATCAAAGAAACACAAAATTCCACATTACCAATCTCAATTTAAAAAGTAGAGGAAGTTATGAGAAAATTTGAAAATTTTTTCCCCTTTTAGAATGTGTGAGATTGGTAATAATGGCAGAGAAAGTGATTTCGAAAGGGCTTAATAATCCTTATAATCACTCTTTCGAAAAATAAGAAAAAAGTATTTTCAATGTCTCCCTATAATCATGAACATAAAAACAAAATTGGTTGGGAACTTTGAGGATTTTCTCTTAAATTTGTATGTGCCAATAATACCACACGACTTTAAGAATTTTCATGTTTTTCTACGTGCTCAATATAAGAATGTTAATTTTAATTTGAAAATTTTCTTGTCGATCACTTTTCAAAATATCAACTCATAATGACTTTAAGTCCCTATTTAGTGGGGATTAAAATTAGATTTTTTGTAGAATTTAACAAAAATTGATAAAAATATATGATTGAAAAGAGATGAATCTCATAAAATTCGTGATTAAAATTAGTTTTTAACTTTAATTCAAATTTTAATTTTAATTTTTCCCAAACAGGCTAGTGTTTTCCCACTCTCCCCCTTTTTCGGACAAAGTAATGAGATTTCCCATCTTCAGGGGAGTCAAGAGTGAAAGAAAGTGAACAGATCTGAAATCAGAGAAAAATCCTGGCCGCAAATTTTAATAAAAAATCAAGTGTTGAATATATTAGGATAATTAGCACATAACGTCCTTATATTTCACTATTGTTGTGGAAAATGTCCTTACCTTTCATTTTTTTTCATTTTCACCTTTATTTTCACCTTTCATTACGTAAAATGTCATTTCATCCATTTAAATAGGAGAGTATATTCATCATTTCACAACTTTTTATTGAAAATTTGGATTAAAATGAATATAAATGATTGTTTGCATAATCAAATTTGTTTAACATTAATGCCAAAAAATGAAAGGCATAGGTGTTTTTCACAATAATAATATAAAGTATGGACATTATGCGCTAATTACTCTTTTACTAATTTATTTGGGACTCGTTTGCACTTTTAAAAAAATTAGGACTATGATTACAATAAGCTCTTCCTTTTTCTTTTTGTTTTATTTAAATAGCAAGGTCTGTTTGTCAATTCATAGCTTTTAATTGAGAAAATAGATGGAAAAGACATTTTGTACAATGAAATCTGGAAATGAGAGTGAAAATGCCAAAAATGAAAGGTGAGAACTTTTTCACAATAATAATAAAATGTAAGGATGTTACGTTCTAATTACCCAATATATTAATATTACATAAAATATATTTAATACAACTTTGATCCTCTAAGCATATGCTTAGCTTATCGCCTTATCCTACGCATTGTGCTTAGTTGGCAATTAATTTAAAATCAAAACTGATTAATTGATAAGTGACCACCAAATTTATTAGTATTACTTTTTCATCCATATTTAGTAATTTATTCATCCAACTTTAGAAATGGGGGAGATTTGAAATAAAGATGGAATTCGGTTGATTATTTATTTATACTGCACATTATTTATCAAAATTTTAAAATTTATGTACAAGTCGCATTATTTCTCGACAAGCTAAAATCGTATGTCGAACCAACCTGACTCGTCCCACCTAACCCCACTCAATATATTATATCACTATATCTAAGTGATCTGATGGCAAATTAAGAAAAGGCAAACTTAATAGCTATATGAAGTGCTCATGCAAATGTTTGTGACTATCCTTGGAAGATTTTTCTGTTTCTTAAATTGATATGGTCACATGATGTGACAATCAAGTAAAACGACTATTGATGAATTAATATTAATTCAGTAACAAAGAATTGTTTTGGACCAATTGGAAAACACGACCTCACATTTGATTTGAGGAAACCAAATGAATAATACATCAATTTTCGTATTGCTCATAATAGTTTTTTTTGGTAGTTTTTAAATAACAATGTTATTTGTATTATTCATGTAATTGTATCATATATCAATGAGGTGCCTAATAAATGAGTTACTTTGTGTATATTGTAAAAGGGATTGAAGAAATTTAAGAATACATACTATTCAAATATCGTATACATATATATTTTCATATTTATACTTGTGTTTTGAAAAATAAGAAGGCTTGTTCAATGTCTCCATATAGTCGTGAATTTAGAAAGAAAATCGGTTGGGAGCTTCAGGATTTTCTCTTAAATTTGTATAGTGCCAATAATGGGAAAATTATATAAAACCAGTGGTTTAATTTGTCATTTTTAAAAGTCAGTTTTTAAGTTTATTTTTGTAAAAATCA